TAGTCCCTCATAGATATCGAGGGTGGACTATAGCTACTTGTCCCTACCCACTCTCTGTCAGCCCCTACCTTTCACAGGAATGAGAAGGAGGTAAGATAAAGCCCTTAATTATTTTGTTTGCTAAATTTTACTAAAAGTAATGTTTTAAATAAATGAAACAAAATGTGTAGGCCCTCCTAAAATAAAATAATATTCACTCCATGTTTCCCGGGACAGCTCAGTTCTTGGAAAGTTGATATTTCTGACCATCTCAGATATGATCCAAGAATGTCATTCAAGACTCAGTAAAGGGGTTCAAGTGGCCTTTGAAAGTAGAGGTCACAAAGTCCCTATGACAGTGTCTCTTCAGACAAGTTTGGGTATCTGGTTTCTTGGTCCATAATTGATTCATGATATAATAATACAATGAGAAAAAGACTGAAAGGAGACTAGGAAAGGCGGGGGAGGGGAGGAGAGGTACAGGCATCAATAAAACTACTGGGGAAAAGGGAAGGAAGACCACAAGAAACAGACATAAGAGTTTAAGTGAATTTAAATGATATAGCAGGAGAGGGTTTGTCAGCTTGACAACCTCTAATAGCCCCTGAGGACATCCCAGTATCACAATAATTAAGCTGTCAACACTGTGTCACGGCCTTTACAAACGAGCAGGGACAATGATAGTCACCACTGTGTGAGGCCTCCCTGTTCAGATCACCTTGCTAACCCTTTGGGGCATTGGCACATAGTAGGCACACAACAGTAATCACAACAATGACTCTGAATCATGAAGATGGCTATATTATGTTAGTATACCCTTCCTTTTTTTCCTAAAATCAGGATAATAAATAAACATAGAAATGTATTTTTAAAAATCTCTTCCAAAATCATTCCTTTAAATTTAAAATTCTTTCAAAATTTCAACTCGTAAAGGTAAGCCTGATCAGTTGCCCCACCAGCAATGCCTAATATTTTAGGCATCGCTGGACCTCAAGTGACTTAAAAAGGAGAAAAGGACATGAGTGCTGTGTGTGTGTGAAAGGGGTGGGGAGAGTGGGGGATGGTTTTCTGGTTTTATTTTGTTTGCATGTTTTTTGAGGGATGTTGTTTCTGTGTGTGTGTTGTTGTTTTTTACAAAGTGAATGGAAAAGCAAAGGTTACATCTGATTCCAAACTCGTTTCATCCCACTTATAACTATAATTACAAAAATATAACATTTGAAAGTCTTAAGTGGGAGTATTTTTAAAAGGCTGAAACATGAAACTTAGCAGGAGACAGCTCTGTCTCTCCATTAAGGGGGAACACTGTTGAGTATGACGAGGCTCTGTGGCAACGCCGCCCCACCACTGTGCCTTCTCGTCGCAGTAATACTGGGCAGGCGGGCCAGCATCATTTCTTTCCTTGGCTCCTTCCTTAGCCCGTTCATGACCCACGTGTTCTAAAAATTCTACTCAAGAGATATACAAAAAAAAAAATATATATATATATGTGAAAGAAAGATAGAAATTATAGGTAGAAAATTATCATTTGAGTCTCCAAATTCACTGTAAAACATATTTGTATTTCCCTACTTCTCATGTATACACAAAAATTTACAGCAATAAAATACAAGTTTACCACTTCTCCCATGCCTCATATCCCCCCTCTTTCTGCACAAATTTAAAAAATATTAATAAGCAATTCAAATCAAAATTACTGTCATTAGGGAGACTATCAAGTGTCCTCATATATAAACATTACAATGTCCCATCAACCAGGGGAAAGAATGATTCCTAGAACAATTAATGTGAAGGCCATGCTTAGAAAATTGTAAAGTGAAATGAACTTGATTCATAGTCTACCCCTAGTGACTTATTTTATCTCTTCCTGGTGCCCTATCCCCATCAAGAGTTGTAAGCTTTTAAGATATGAAATTATTAAATTAGGTGTGTTTTTATAGATTATTAAAAATAAGAGTTGAAGGCATAAATTTCATGTGACAGATTTTTTTTTAAATTAAAATAGGAGTAAATGTGCCTTAAATTGAATACCAGAAACTTTTCAAAATTGACATTTCCAGGAAAGCCAGGGGGGTATAAAGAATAGAAATACCAGTCTCACTTTTATTCCTGAAATTTAAAAAAGTACCACTTGAGACTCAGGAGGCATGACTGTTATATCTTCATATCACTTATTCTGTCCCTATGGTACCTACACATCCTGTCTGGGAAGAGTGAAGGAGAAAGTTGTGTCACTGAGCATGCCGCAACAGTAGTTACAGGTTAGCTCTCAGTTATCAACAATTTCGGATCTATGTTTTGAATGGCAGGAAGACTCCTGAGAGCCCCTATGATTGCGTCAGCATCTGACCCTGTCTTTCTGTCTTCTTCCAGAGTCAAAAGGAAGTATCATTGGATTACTCTTGTGTGCCATCAGCATTCTTCCTCCCTTCCATTTATGCAAAATAAAATGTTGAAGTTAAAAATAACTCAGGGCATGCCCTTTCTCTGAAGAATTGATGCCTGGTTAGCAGCACATAGGGAGAAATTCACTCCTCGGATCCCCTAAAGCTATAAAGGGTCTGGGTCACTTTTGCATGGACAAGCTTTGTTTCAGAGGAACATAAAGCTCATTTTGGAGTCAACTGGAGAAGTCTGTGACACACAGCACACCGACTGATTCTAACAGATGGATTTTTCTTGAAATAACTTCATTAGTTAATCATTTCTTTTACATACACTTTTTCTAGCTAATTGGTATAGCTGCCAGCTGGAGCTGTGAAGGATCCTCCAACAAAACTGGTAGGAAAAGAGAAAATTCAATAATGCCACCAATTCCAGGATGAAACTTCTATTAATTTTGCTGTTACATATTTGAAAGGAATGTTTTTTTCTTCACCTTATTCCAAAAACCTTACCTGATCTATGTTTAAAACACGTGAATAATCTATAAGAAACTTTAAGCCTTAATAACTATAGATCAGGATCTCCCAAACCTGAGACTATTGACTACTGATTGACACTGAGGACCAGATAGTGTTGTGTGTTGTGTGTTATATGTGGTGTGTGTGTGTGTGTGCGCGCACGCAGTGGGCTGTCCTATGCACTGTAGGCTGTTAAGCAGCAACCCCGGCCTCCACCTATAGAATTTCAGTAGCATCCCCAGTCCTGACAACCAAAAAACGTCTCCAGACATTGCCAAATATCCCTGGGGGAAAAGACCTCCCCAGCTGAGAACTGCTGCTCTAGAAATTGGTTGTTCCTAAATTTTAATTCAATTTTTAAAATAATTAAAAAAATAATTGGATGTACACATGAATAGGTGTATGTAACTCCAGACACGCCTAACGAATTACAAATTGTTGCCTGTAGATGAAATGTGTTAGGTTTTTTGGGGGGGAGTTGGAGTTATTTAAGCAGCTAATGCTTTCCTAGATCTCTCTGGGTAAAGAAACAATAAGACAAGTGGTTTGTAAGTACCAATGAATATTAATTATCTAAGGCTTGTCATCTTCATCATCAAAAGTATTAAGGATTTCTTTCCCTTTAAGGAACACCCTCAGTCTGACTGTTATGAATAAATAAACAACAAAATCCTGTGCTGGGATCCTTTGAGATATAAATGATAAATTATCAACGTAGCCGCCTAAGGCATTTTTAAACAAGGGAAAGCGGTGTCCTGTAATGAAATGGACATTGAGAAAACTGGGTCTGTTTTGACTTTACTCTGTATTATGGAATGATTTCAGGCTCACAAAGGGTCAGACTTCAGATACGGACACTCTGGTCTCTGACATCCAGTGGTAAACATAATGTTCACTGCCTACTTATCACTCTGATTTTTTTCCCTAGTCTCCATGCAGGCGGGTCCAGGGAGAGCCCCAGAGGACTAACACGCTAATAACCAGCAGGGCCCGAGAAGGGAGGCCGTGGGCCTGTTTGGGGTGAAGCTCGGAGCGCAGCCGCACGGAGCATGCGCAGAAACTCATTCACGATGCTTCAAAAAAAACAAAGTCCTAAACTCCATCCCAATCGCTGTCGTTCCAGCAAAGGTTCTCTACCACGTATGAGCTCAAGCAGGCTTTGAATGGAAGATAAATAACATCTCCCAATTCCCTGCCTGAATGTATAATTCCCCCTCGGGCGGCCCTTCCAGAGCCATGAGAGCTCACGGCCCTCCCATCTCACCTACAGCGGTCGCTCCCTTCACACGCGTGGGCCGCACCTGCGGGAAGAAGAGCCGCCCCCGCGGCGAGGT